ATTTGGGCGCGTGAGGGAGGAGCCAAGAAAATGATTCTCCTAGAAAATTTTGACCATCAAACAATCTAAAACCAATAAAATGGAATTCTTTTTCCAAGTTCCATAGAAAATTTGGCATTTCAAACATGCCCTAAGTGCTTGCATACATCAAATATCAGTTATAGTATTTGTTCGAAGCAATGCCCGAACGGAATGTGCTTGGGGTGAATTTCAAGGCATGATTCTGAGTGAAACTCAATAGCTATAACTTTTGGACAAAGTAATTGCATTCATCGAATTCTAGTTACAATACTCTTGAAAAAGAGTCACGATAAAAAAGCATCTCACAAATCACACAAGAATGTTCTAATATTGGGACTAGGTTATTGACAAATAAAGAATAACTACGCCAAAAAGCCTTGTGAACATATCCCTTGTGATACAATATTTGCAAAAGAATTGAGCAGCAGAAACTAAGCAGTTTTCTCTTCTTTTTTTCAAGTGCCTTCTGCATTGGTGCAGGTTCCTTTCAACTGGTTTTGAGTTTACGTTTCACATTTTCAGTCAAGCTTTTGAAATGTTTGAACTGGTTCTGGGGTAAATATTAGGAATTATTGCAGCAAATGTCTCAAACCTTTGACACACTAACAGACTTTTCTCAAATCTTTGATTTGCTGCAGTCGTCACTTTTAACCTTTCAAAACGTAACAGGTAAACCATCCAAAATGCCTTCAGTTAATCACCAAAATTAAGTTTTGACTACAATTTCAACATTTTAAAGAGGGCAAAATAGTAATTTTATATATTTGCATATATTACAATTAAAATAATAAAAAATTGAATATTTTCCCTAAACCCTACACTCAAAACCATAAATTTCTTCGCCCAAAGAAATTGAATAATTTTAGATTTGAGGGTCGGTTGACCTATTTTTCATGAAAATAAGGAACGTATGAGAATTCATTCAAATGAAGAATCTTTTGATTCTCCAACTAATGTCAAAGTGAAATCTCAATTATTTTTATTTTTTTGATGATCCAAGAAAATATATAATATACTGAACTTTCGATTTAATATAATATTTGTTTTCATTGCTGCTACTTGATTGTGCAATATAAAAGAAAATAAATAATATAATACTAACCTTTCTAGAGCTTTCAATCAAATATACAATACCTGATATTATATTATATTAATGTTAATTTTATTATTATTATTATTATTATTATTATTATTATTATTATTATTATTATTTGTCTTTCTCCTTGAGGGATTCGTGACAATTTTAATGAGCTTCTTGAACATGCAATAGGTCCTTATAATAGGGGAATGGACACATGTTGTCGATTCTTACGTTTTCATAAAAAAATAAAGAACCAAATTATTATATTGTACAATAAATTTAAAAATGTAGTGCTAAGTTCCATATGAAATGAATTGCCAAAGTTAAAATGCATGACGATAGTTCAGCCATGTTAATCCAGACAATCATGCCTCCATAGTCATAAAATATACATCAAAAATAATATTATAATATTGTATTTTAAATTAGCTCAACTACAACTATGTATTTTTCCTTCGAATATAGTACATTAAAGCTCTGTTTGTTTCAGATTAAAGTCAGATTTTAATATAAATCAAAGTCAAACAATCAATATTAACCACATTTTTCATGGATCCCACAACTTTTCAACCACACGTTTCAAAAACTTTTATCACAATCTATTAAAAATTTAATTTTAATCTCCACCAAACACCCACTAAATATATTGCACAAACAAAACCTCGTGGATTCATGCAGAATCAGGGGCGAAGTTGAGGGGATGACATTTTTTGTTTGTACTAGGCTAATATAAAATTAAGAAAAATGCTATGGGTATACACACGACTTTACACCCCCCTCACATGGAGGGGGGCTCAGGAATATTTTATTGTGTGTGGAGTCCCCTCCGTGTGGTGGAGGGGGGGAAGGGTGTAAAGTCGTGTGTACACTATTGTGTACACGTAGCATCTCCCTAAAACTAAATGCCTTTTTGTACCCCCTTTGTAGAATACAAAGTACAATCTTATTATATGTAAATCATGATTTACACTATGGCTTATCGAATTTATACCGACACAGTCTCATACTATTTTTCATATCTCACGAATTTCGTTCAATGGTTGTAAAACATTCACGTCAATTTTTGTCAACAAATGTGTCGAAATGAATGTACAAACAGCTTAAGTATGCCTCGACGTACACATTGCAACACAACTAGCCAAAAGAAAACTCAATTTTGTGATGACACGTTTTAACCAATTTTAAGTTCAATTCAAACCTACTATTCGACTTAATATGCGTGCAATAAAAAATATGTGGCTAAATGTTTTAATTCAGTTTTTAACCATTGGGATCCATAAACAAATGTCTCCGAATTATTGATCGAAATTTGAAGTTCATAGGAGATTATATGCTCATAAATATTTTCCTCTTCAGCAATTATTTGTGATGATAGCTAATTAGAAAATGTTTATTGTACATTATCATTTACAGATTCTTCTATCGATTGATGATTGTTGATTTATTATTCAGTGTAGTCATCATTAATTATACACTGAATGTCTCTATCAGTCTATCTATTCAATATGAACCTTGCTACTTGTACAAAATAATTTGTACAAAAATGTTGACAAACCCTCACATGTGGGGGGTCCACTTTTTATTTTCAATTTTTTATTCACGTGGGGCCGGCAATCATGTGAGGGGTTGTCAACATTTTTGTCAAATTCTTTTTGTACAAATAGCTTTTTTGATTCAATATAGTCCAGGCAGAAGATGTGAATGTACAATAATACCCACGACAAACTTATCAAAGGAAGGGTATATAAGGAATTTTTAGACAATGGTGGGTTTGAAGATAAAAGGAAGGGTGATTATATTTCACCACAATTTAAATGTACTTAAACTCCTCAATCTTTGTTTATTGTAGTAATTATTTTTTTAATTTTTTTTGGTCGAATTCTTATATTCAACCTTCCATTAATTAGCCCCTGTTTGAGCCACATTATTTTTTCATTCTCATTCTTCTACTCATTTTCAACCACACATTTTTTAATAAAATAATATTTTCTATCACATCATTAACCATTCCTTCTTTGTCAACCACAGATTTCTAATCACGTCAACGATAAAATATGCATTCTTACTCCCAAAATGTACACTAAATAGGGTCTTAATACAACTCATTCTTGAAGATGATTTATATCAAAACATTTTGTTTTTATATATAAAGTTGTTATTAAAAATAAAATGTGTTAACTAACGAAAAGTTTGAGAATAGAGATATAAGTGTTATAATGAATAAATAAAAATTTTAAGTGTATTTAAAATATGGTGCAAAAAATATAAATTGTGTTGTAAATATAATAAGATAATAGAAAATAGCCAGGTTCATAATTCTAATATTTATATAAAAAACACAAACACACACCAAATTCAAATGCAGGATGTGTTTGACACCCATTTTAGAGATAGAATAAATCCTGAAATAGTAATTGATGGAAGAATGTGTGGTTTTTTAAAAGTAAAGAGAATTTTTGAGTTTATTTGTAATATTATTTTATTGATAGAATGTGATTGAAATGAAGAAAAAAAAATGAGAAAGAGAATGAGGAAAACATGAGTGTCAAACAGGGCTAACTACAAAAAAGGCTTAACAGTACAAAATGTCTATATGTTTGACACTTCTTGTGAAAAACGTCCATACGTTTCATTTTTTCGTATTTTTGTCTTTATTTCAACGTTTCATTGCGGAAAACATCATTTTCAGAACAAAACGTCCCTAAGTTTGACATTTCTTGTGGAAAACGTCCCCATGTTTCATTTTTTTTTTTTTTTTTT